TAGGGTGTAAAGGGTTGATAAAACTTTGAGTTTGTTCTCAATAATGAGATTGCATGATATCCTATAAAAATCTGGATTTTTTTTTTTCACTTGCACTTATTATTGTGGTTGTTGGAGAACTCTCATTTTACCTGCAGATTTGTAAACACAAATGATCTTGAAATGTAAAGCTTCTTTGCTTGATTGTCAAATCTCCACATATTCAGAGAGACACCTGAATGAAAATCAGAGTCAATTGATTGTTAATTCTCTCATCTACCTGTTACACTTTACTTGTATCTTAATTACAAGAGTCTGGTGTTAGATCAAGATAACAACTTCTACCTGATAAATAAGAGTATTCTCATTTCCTGTTTGCTAGATAACATATGGATATTTTAGGGAGATGTTACATGTTTAACACTTCAGGGAGTTGAAGGGTTCAAAAGCTAGGCCAATAACGCGAAACACACATTTAACGTTAAATTTATAACGTTATAAGAAAAATTCCAGATTGAAATTTTAGCAATGGCGTCAAAAAAAACAGGATCGGATTGCAGATTGGATCACGAATCGCCACCTGATCCTGGTTTTGTCAATGCCGTTGTTAGCAACGCAGTTGACTACTCTTAAAAATTAATACCTTGTACTGTCCTGTTGAACCTTGACGACTCATCGCCAATGAAGAACGAACCATTTGTAAACGTGAACTGCTCGATATTCCTTGTATTGATGATTACTTCCTCTTTCAAGGGCTTATACAAGGTTTCTCCCTTGGGCAGAAAATCTTCGGACTCATAAACCAATCCATTTGCACTGATCAGCAAAAAATTTTTGGGAGAATGCGAAGTTGACGTCCAATAATTTGTGGGCATGTTGGTTCTCTTATGAAACAAAGAACCATTTTTGTTTGGGCGATCGAAATCATCGCGTGACAAGTTCATAACCTCTTGTTCATCTCTTTCCTCTGTTCGCTGCCGTTTTGCACAACAGGCAGTAGTGAAACCATTTTGCGATGACGATGAACTTAAGAAAGATATTTCCGTTTCAACATCCATGGCAGGAAATTGCTATATTTATATGAAGTTTGTTAGGACTGGTGTTAACGCATAATACTCGCATGAGTTTACGTGCAGGTATTTCGATTGAAAAGAGGAAACTAAAACAATATCACAAACTCGCCATCTTGAACTTGGTAGCCTCCCCGTTCACATCATTTGAAATTTCGCGCCTCGTTCCAGTTTACAACTCGGTTGAAAAGGAGATTGCGGTTTGATTTAAAAGGACATACACAGTAACCAGTCAATGAAAAAAACCAAGCTTGAATTACCTTTTTCTGTGCAGCATCATGTGTATGTTTTTATTCATCTGGGTTCAGTTTTTCAAAGGGCAAATAATACTATCCTTTGAATAAATCACTATCCAGCACATAAGTGATAACAAAATGTACAGCACTATCCAGCAGATATAGATTTATACAGAGGATAGCGTTATCCAACCTTTGAACAAATGTAGCCTGTTTAATTATTTTTCAGTAGATTATTGGGAGGGTGACATGTGATGTGTCCCTCATACTGCCAACATCTCTTAATAAATATGTAAAATATTGCACATCACATTTGTATATTTGGGTTAAGAATAGTAAAGGATGTGACTACCTACGATAAAAAAAAATTGTTCTTACATAAATATGTACATATCAAATTTCCTAATTACATGTGTAGCAGTGAACCCTTTAACACTAAACACTTCAACCACTAAGAGTGACTGGCATCAAATTTCTCCATACAATATCACCCCTGAATCATGTGTTAAGGTCATGAGAATAAAGGAAATGAACACCAACAAAAGAAGCTTTGATTGGTCAGTAGCTTAGGAAATGTATAAAGAACAGTATGGAGAATATGCATACTGATTTTAGGGTGTAAAGGGTTAATTTTCTCATAGGTGTAGCAATTTAAGATGCAACAATTTTTTGACATATGGATACAGAAAGCAACCACAATTACAACATTGTTATCAATGCTTAGACACTAATCATAGTCATCAAGGTTTAACGCTGGAGCAAAGTTATGCACCATCATTTTAACCCGTTCTTTACTCTGTTTAATTCTTTGTACAGTGTCTTCAACCATGGACAACCTTTCTTTCTCTTCATTGTACCTTTGCTCCAAATCTTGGCATCTTTCCTTACAATCTTCTTCTTTAATCTTAATGCCATCAAGTTCAGTTTGCAGACGGTTTATTTTCTGTCGCAGTTCACTTTCATCCATTTCTAGTTTCTTGATCAGTTTCTTTTCATCCAGGAGCTGTTCCGTTACTTCTTCCATGGTCCCAAGAATGCTCTCAGCCTCACCTAAAGGTGATAAAGAGTTTCACTCAACAATTCTTCCCCCTTTTAGTTTCCTTTTAGTTTCATGAATATTCTGTATTACTGTCAGTCTCTCAGAAGCTGTGCACCTACCTCTCTCATAACCCAACAACAGTTACCCAATAACATGTTAAGGCTAATGTTGGGTCAGGGGAGGGGTAGGTTCACTGTTGCTCAGATACCAACATTGAACCAGTATTTTTTACTATTCAGCTGATCTGATGGGACAGCAATTTTCTTGCTCTAATATCATCAGGGGTTTCACAAAAAACTAGTTACCAGTAGTCTACAGTAGACCTCTCATTGCCCTCAGTTTAGCAAGCAAACAGGGTCTTATGTGTGGATTCTGCCTTATGGCACAGCCACCAATTACACCATTGATAGTTGCTTATGGAAAAGATTAATTAAACCCCTGTATCCTTGGAGCTGGGAAAACTATTTAGAAGTGAGACAGAGAAATGGCTCATACTCCATAGCCTGATTTTATCCTTACCATTCAATGCATTACATCTAAGAGTAAGAGATTGGTATTCTTCTACATATTGTCTTGTTTGCTCTTCCAGCTTTTGAAGTCTCTCCTTCTCCTTCTGCATTTTGAAGTCAGATATTATCTGCTGAATTACAGTGTTTACTGCAGTGGACTTAACAACAGTCTGACATGTTGGGCATTTCTTGCAATCACGTAAACATGCCTGGCAAAAAGTGTGTCCGCAAGGTATTGCAGCCATGGGTGTGTGTCTTGGACCACTCATTAGTTTTTCACAGAGTGGACAAGAGTGGCTGGCAATACCTGATTCATTATTTTCCTGGGTATTCTTTTGCTGTTGTTTATGACTGACACTAGGTTGCAATGACACTTTTAACCTCTCTGCAACAGTATCTGCTAACGCATTGAGCATATCAGCAGATAACTCTGGAGTGTTGTGTTTCTCAGAAGAAGCGCTTAAAAGACTATTCTTGTTTTGAGTGTTAATTACAGTATCGCTAAAGGAATTAGTGACTGTATTTCCATAAATTTTTCTGTTCCTATCTGATGATTCATCATTATATATGTCCCTATCAATTTGATAACCAACTTGACAACTTGTATCAGATTTTAAGGAAGTTCGTGATGATGGCCTTTGCTTGTTATGGAGAGTCTGTTGACTAGTAGTGAGAGCTGTGCTATTTAAAGACCCAGAAGAATTCGAGTTTGCATAATTCGATGGAGCATACTGCATGTGATGGTCACTACTGTCTTCCGTATGATTTAAGCTTGGGTTTCTTTTGTGACTACCTGAGGCAGAAGGAGGTCTCTGTTTCCTAGAAACAGGGTTATCACCCTTGGATATCCATGGAACTACATCTGAATGATCTCTCTGTGGCTCGGGATACAAAGGTTTCCTTCGTGGATTACTGTATGGATTTCTATTGACAGCATTTTCAGACGATGAACCACTAGACAAACTCGAACGGGCTCGAAACTTTGGCACATCTGGCAGTGCAGTAATATCTTTGCTCAAATACTTCAATTTTGTGGACGATGACTTAGAAGCTTCTCTTTCCTTCATCCACAGACTTTGTTTTTCACGAATTGCTTTGACTTTTTCAGCTGTTTCTTCTTTGGTTTTGCCGTCTTTCTTTTGATTTGTTGACTTCGTTTGCAGTTTCTTACCTTGCAAAGACATCATCACATTGCACCTATGCTGAGTGAAACAAATAAAACTCCTGTAAAACCGCGAAGAAAGTCTACAAGTTCGTGAAAGACCTCATCACCAAGACGTCATTTTGGTTTGTTTGAGCTTGGCTATTTCTTGTGTGGTTACCAAGCAAAGAGCTACAGAGCAAAGGCTAGATTTAGAGGGGAGGGGTAGATCGGGTTAAAAATACAGACTTCAAATTATGAGATTCAAATTATACCAGGGGAATGTATCCCAGACACAAAATATCAGCAATATTTTATTATTAAATAAAGATAAATATACTTCCACGTAATGAAAATTCACCTTCAAAATTGTCGAAAGGTTCCTACTAGACAAACTGTAATCTCTAGTAGCCCTCCCTAGGAAAAAATCGGACGCAGTGGGCTTGATGAGCTGGCCGTGCTTTCTCCAATATAAGCCATTTGCAGGCAAAAGACCCGTGAAAACTTTCTGAATTTTTGTTTCACAAAACTAGAAGGCTGATCCTCGGATGCCATTGAATATTTCTGTGTTTCAGCAGTAAGTAAAATACCATCAAAATGTCGACGTCGGCGGTTTTCGTTCTTGATATAAAAGGAAAGGTAGGTTGGCCGAACTCTAAGACTTTTTATACACCGTAATATTTTACATTAAGACTGAGAAAGTTTTGAAGAACTGCTCGTACTTTTACTACCCAGGTGATAATTTCTCGGAATTATCGTGGAGATATTGAGATGTCCTTGATCGAAAAGTTCATGCCTCTTGTGTTGGAAAAGGAAGAAGAAGGAAGTCAAACGCCCATTTGCGTTCACCAGGATGTTACTTTCGTATATATCAAGTACAATAATCTCTATCGTATCCTTCTGTTTTTACGATCAGGTGTTACTACATCTGAGCAGTACGGTACAAATTGTTTAAACGGGTGAAATTGTTTTTACGGATGAAAATTCAAGGCTTACCAGAGACTAGATACAAGCTTAGTGTAAATCAAAGTTTCTTTGGTAGATCAAAGATCGTGGCTTTTATCAAAGGGGTGTTCCTTGTGCTCAGTGAGATACGAGCATACCATTCGCTACATATCAGAGTGCATTCGACAATAATCTCATGCTGAAGTTATTAAAAGGTTTACAGAATCTGCAACCAACTATAATTTTTCTTAATGAGAGATAGGGTCAGATAAATGATGCTGGCATTATCCTGTACATAATGTTATAATCAGAGCATCAAGCGTAATATCGGCATAATATCTAAACTTCTTAAAATTCCCCGTTGTGTTACATTTCAAAAGGAGATATACTCAGTAGCCGAGTAATGAGCATGCTTTCATTGCTTAAATTTTTGGAATTTGATCTTGTAAAATTTTGTGTTCTGAACTTGGATAAGACTTTAATTCTAACCAAGTTTTACCTGTTGGTGGTAGGAAGGGGCGAAGAAAGGGGGATTTGAGGGGGTCTGTGAACTATTTATTTGAATCACTAAATTGAGCATATTGAAAAATTTGAGAAAAATTATCAGCATAATGTATGTTTCTAGGGGTTATGCTCAAAAGCACAATGATCAAATTTTTCACCATAATCTATCAGTGACACATGCAGATGCACCATGTGTTTCCTTGTTGTTTGATCAAGATAACAACTTAAACCTGATAAGTTTAAGTATTCTCATAACCTGGTCGCTGGATAATGTGTGGATATTATAGGGAGAAATTACATGTTAATCATTTCTGGAAGTTAAATATCTAGGGTCAAGTGCTTTCACCAGAGTTCCTTGACTTCAGTTTCCAGTGGTATCAATGACAAAGAAGAATGCAAATGTGGCTTTGTTGTTTGTTTTCCTCCACAAGTTAGTGCAGGTAAATATTACTTGGATGGGGTTGTCATTAACCCTTTAACTCCCAGATCAAATTTGTTATTCTCCTTACTGTTAACCGTACAATTCTTAGAATGTTAGTTCAGAGAATTTAGCATTGGATCAATTAATTATCGCCAAATTGATATTCTTCTTTATTCTCATTAGTTATCTGGTTGATATTATATTGATATTGCAAGGAGAAATTTTGTTTTGGTCACTCATGAGAGTTAAAGAGTTAAGCACCAGCTACCAGGGAAAATTGCTAAATGAAAAGGAGGCATTTGCCAGCCAGAGTTTTAGCTGGAAATTGCTTGGTAAAGCACAATGGGCACTCTGAGTTTATATACTTACACTTTTTCAATATCCCAGGCTATCTTTGGGTGGCCTCGCTTGAAATTACAACAGGCAACCAAACTTGCAAATTTCATCTTTAATTATAATATACAAACAAGTTGGGTCTACTTCTTCCATAAAGAAATTTGATTTTAATAACAAACATAAACTCTTTTTGTTTATTTTGATTAAGAACACATCATGATTTAGATGTTATGCATTCACTGCAGGTGTTTACAGAATACTTCAAGGAACTTGAGGAAGAAAGTATCAGAGATAATTTTGTGATTATATATGAACTGCTGGATGAGTTGGTGGACTTTGGATATCCACAGTTTACTGAGACAAAGATCTTACAGGAGTAAGTAATTTCTTTTTTAACTCTTTCACTCCTAAGATCTCATTGTTACCCAGTATGTCTCCTTACCTTCTTCTCTACAATTCTTTTAAAGTAATTTTGGAGAATTTGGTATTGGATCAACTTATAATCTGCTAATTGATATTATTCTTTTTTCTGAACACTTCTATGCTTGAAGTTATGCTTGTATCGTATAGAAAAATTCTCTCTTGGTCACTCATTGGAGTTTAACCCTTT